CTTCTATTATTTTATCTTGGCTAATTGTAATAAATGGGTGTTGATACATAATATTTTTTAAAAATTGGTAACATATAAATACTAAATATACACATCAGTTTGTACGAATTAAAGGTTAATGTGTAATGTCGGGGTTTTGTTGTTTTAATGAGTTTTGTAAGATTGTTAGTTACCTTAGGGCTTTAAGGGGGTTGGGGGGTTTTTTTATTAAAAACAGAAGAAGGGGCGACTTATAAGGGATATAGTATCTATTATGCTCTAGAAAGAGATTAATGTGGTTCTTGAGTAATGTATTTCTAACATTACATTATTATTATTTATATAAGGAACGAATGTTCCACCTTCTATCATAGGGCCGTGTGCACTCTGAAATGTTCACGAAAGGAGAAAAAAAAAAGATACCAGCTGCCCCTGTGGAGAGAACGCTCGGCTTGGGGGGTAACGAGTCGAAGGTTTAACACCATTAGTCAATGTAAGCGTCGATGAAAGTGTGCGGATTAATAAATGTATGGACCTGAAATAGGAGGAGATGCCAGGAATAATTCACCTTTTAGGTAGCAACCCTACAATAAGGGCTCCTGACCATCAAGAACCGTTATCCTTAAGAAATAGACTGGTTGGTGGGCTCTTACTGCATAGAATGGTTTATTTAATGGTATTTGGAGTCCTGGTATATCATTACTTATGAGGTTTGTGTTAGGTATATAAATCTCTCAGTACTTAAGATGTTAGTGTACTTCTAATTTTAGTGGTTTATGTCTACCTTAGTTTTATGTAATTATTTTATGGTTAACATAAATTAATGGTGTTAATACATAAAATGTTCTAGAAAATTAATATTATGCACTATATATATATATATAAATATTTCATATATGTACCAGAAAATATTTTAATTTTAGAATACCAGCTTTGGGAGCCGGCGGTGGGAGTTCGATTCTCCTTTTTCTGAGCAGTGGGGAGGGTTTTAACCTCCGGCCTCCGGTTTACAAAACCGGCGCTCTAATACTGAGCTACAAATGCAATTTCATTTAAGAACTTTATTTTCTGCTCAACCTGATAAAGGTAAAGCTGCTAAAAAGATAAGGAAGTAGATAACAGACGCTAGTTGGCCGATTAGAATGTAGGGGGGTTCTACAGGCATTCCCCCAATCCATGTTAAGATGATTATATCTGCAACTAATGCTCAGAATATAAGTTGGCCAAAGGGTCGGAAGGTGAGTCCTCGTTGTTTGGATGTATGAAGAATTGGAACTAGTATTAATACTAAAATTGAGAATAATAAGGCTAGTACACCTCCTAGTTTGTTTGGAATTGATCGAAGGATAGCATAGGCGAATAGGAAATATCATTCGGGTTTAATATGAGGCGGAGTTACTAGTGGGTTGGCTGGTGTGAAATTGTCAGGATCCCCTAAGATGTTTGGGGTAAATAAGGCAATCGATGTAAGGGCAATAAGGAGGGCGGCAAATCCTAGTAAGTCTTTATATGAGAAATAAGGGTGGAAGGAGATTTTATCTGCATCGGAGTTAATACCTGCAGGGTTATTTGAGCCTGTTTCATGGAGGAATAGTAAGTGAACTATTGATGCGGCTGCTACAATAAATGGGAGTAAAAAGTGGAATGCGAAAAATCGGGTTAAGGTAGCATTATCTACGGAAAACCCTCCTCATACTCATTGGACTAAATCATTGCCGATATATGGTACGGCAGATATTAGGTTGGTAATAACTGTGGCTCCTCAGAAGGATATTTGTCCTCAAGGTAACACATATCCTACGAATGCAGTGGCTATTACAAGAAGTAATAGTACAACTCCAACGTTTCAAGTTTCTTTATATAAGTATGATCCGTAATAAAGCCCTCGTGCGATGTGTAAATAAATACAAATGAAAAAGAATGATGCTCCATTAGCATGTATATTGCGAATTAATCAACCGTAGTTAACGTCTCGGCAGATATGTGTTACTGAAGAAAATGCGGTTGCAATATCTGAGGTGTAATGCATTGCTAAAAATAATCCTGTGAGGATTTGAGCGCCCAAGCATAGTCCTAATAAGGACCCAAAATTTCATCATACAGAAATATTTGATGGTGCAGGTAGGTCTACAAGGGCATCGTTGGCAATTTTGAGAATGGGGTGAGTTTTTCGAAGGTTGGCCATTTGAGTTTTTATAGTTGAATTACAACGGTGGTTTTTCAAGCCATTAGTCCTGGTTAGAATCCTGGTAAAAATTATGACTTATTTGATGTTTTTGTTATTAATAGGGTTAATTTTTGGTTTAATTGCGGTGGCTTCTAACCCATCGCCATATTTTGCCGCTTTAGGTTTAGTGGTTGTAGCTGGTATGGGTTGTGGTGTTATGGTAAGTTTTGGGGGGCCTTTTTTATCATTAGTATTATTTTTGATTTATTTAGGAGGAATATTAGTTGTTTTTGCATATTCTGCCGCTCTAGCTGCCGAACCATATCCTGAGAGTTGGGGTAATTGATCTGTTGCAGTTTATGGGGCTTTATATTTAATAGGAGTGATTTTAGTTTTATTTTACTTTTATGGGGGGTGGTATGAGAGTTCTTGAGTACCAGTGGATGAGTTGTCAGGTTTGTCTATATTTCGAGGAGATATATCTGGAGTAGCTTTAATATATTCTTCAGGAGGATGAGTGTTGGTGATTAGTGCTTGGGTTCTTTTGTTAACTTTATTTGTTGTGTTAGAGTTAACACGGGGTCTTTCCCGTGGTACTCTTCGAGTGGTTTAAATTAATAATGCTATGGCAAGGGTAAAGGTTAGGATAAATAATATCAGGTAGGCTTTGATTATACCTTTTTGGGCGTTACTTGTAGTCGTAATTAGGGGTAGATTTATAGTTGATGTAGCTTTAGGACCAATTTTTTCTAGTCACGTTATATCAATAGTTTGTGAGGCAATGTTTTGTCCTAATTGAAGTGTTAGTTTAGTGGGTAAACGGTGGGTAATTAATGGGTAGAATCCTAATATGCTGGAGCATAAGTGAGGGGTTTGTTTGGGGTAAATGTTTAGTTGTTTTGATGTATTACGGGCTATTTCTAGGGCTGTAATTAATCCGATTACTGTTACAATTAGAGCGGCTATTTTAGCATAGGAAGGTATAGTTATAACTGGGTTTTTTATAGGTGTTATATTTGATGTGATAATTAAACCTGCGATAATACTTCCTCAAGCTAATCGTTTAATTGGATTAATAACTGGTTTACTGTTTTCGTTAATTGGTGATAAGGGGTTAAATCGTGGGTAACCTATAGTTACAAAGTAAACAATTCGTAGGCTGTAGATTGCTGTGAATGAGGTGGCAATAAGAGTTAGTAGAAGGGCTCAGGCGTTTAAATAAGAGGTGTTTATTGATTCAATAATAGCATCTTTAGAGAAGAATCCTGCTAGAAAAGGGGTTCCTGTTAGTGCTAGGCTGCCTAGAGTTAGTGAGGATGAGGTGAAAGGGGTTAGAAAGTGTATTCCGCCTATTTTTCGAATGTCTTGTTCGTCGTTTAAACTATGAATTAATGAACCTGAGCATAAGAATAATATTGCTTTAAAGAAAGCGTGGGTACAAATATGAAGAAATGCTAGTTGGGGTTGATTAAGCCCAATTGTAACTATTATTAAACCAAGTTGACTAGATGTAGAAAATGCTACAATTTTCTTAATGTCGTTTTGTGTTAGAGCACAAATAGCTGTAAATAAAGTGGTTAATGCTCCGAGGCAGAGGCATGTTGTTAGGATGAAAGGGTTATTTTCCATTAAGGGGCTTATTCGAATTAGTAAAAAAATTCCCGCAACAACTATTGTGCTTGAGTGTAGTAGGGCAGAAACCGGAGTGGGACCCTCTATAGCTGAGGGTAGTCATGGGTGTAGTCCGAATTGAGCTGATTTTCCTGTTGCTGCTAAGATTAACCCGAGTAGTGGTAGGGTAAGGTCTTTATTTTCAGCTAGTGTAAATATTTGGTTTATCTCCCAAGAATTTAGGTTTATAGCAATTCAGGCTATAAATAAAATTAGTCCGATGTCTCCAACTCGGTTGTATACAACCGCTTGGATAGCAGCTACGTTAGCATCGGCTCGTCCATACCATCATCCGATTAGAAGAAATGATATGATGCCAACTCCTTCTCATCCGATAAATAATTGAAATATGTTATTAGAGGTTACCAAAATTAATATAGCAATTAAAAATAGTAGGAGGTATTTAAAAAATCGGTTTATAACAGGGTCAGAGTGTATATATCAGGATGCAAATTCTAGAATGGATCATGTGACGTATAAGGCTACGGGGGTAAAAATTACTGAATATAGGTCAAATTTAAAACTGATGCTAATATCGAAGGTTGATGTGTTTATTCAAGATCAGGTAGTAATAATGGTTTCTAAACCTTCATTAATAAATAAGATAAGGGGTAAGAGGCTAATTATGAATGATATTTTAACTGAATTTTTTACTCAAATGATAGATCAGTTATGTGAGTGGGGTTTGGTTGTTATTGTTGAAATTAGAGGTGTAGTTAAAAAAGCAAAAATAATTAAAAGACTTGAGGATATTATTAAAGAGGTGGACTGCATAACTACTGCTTGGATTTGCACCAAGGGTTTTTGGTTCCTAAGACCAATGGATCAACTAATATCCTTCAGAAGTTTCGAGTGAGCTCTGGGGTTAAACCAAAGGGGCAAAAATTAGCAGTTTATGTTGTCTTCGGACCTCTCTCGGTGGATAAGAGGACTTTAACCTTTATTTTTAGAATCACAATCTAATGTTCTTTTTGAACTATATCTACAGAAGATTCAACCTCATAATAGCTCAGGTTTAAAAATCAGTAATGTGAGTGGGATGAGGTGGAGTGTTATGATTAAATGCTCTCGGGAGTGTGATGGTTCTATATGGAGTAGGTGATTTGTTAAGGGACCTCGTTGGGTTGTTAGGAATAAATATAGTGAGTATGCTGCAGTAATTAGTGTTCCAAGGCCTGTAAGGGTTAAAGTTCAGGGTGATCAGTTAAATAAAGATGAGATGATTATTAATTCTCCTATTAAATTAGGTAGAGGGGGTAAAGCTATGTTTGCTAAGCTAGCAGTAAATCATCATATGGCTATTAGGGGTAAGACTATTTGTAGGCCTCGTGCTAAAACTATCGTTCGGCTATGGGTTCGTTCATAGTTTGTGTTTGCTAAGCAAAATAGTGCTGATGAGGTTAATCCATGTGCAATTATTAATACTAGTGCTCCAGTGAAACCTCAGGGGGTTTGAATAAGGATACCTGTTGTAACTAGTCCTATATGACTAACTGAGGAGTAGGCAATCAGGGATTTTAAATCATTTTGTCGTAAACAGATTAAGCCTGTTATAATAATTCCCCACAGGGCTAGGATTATAAAAGGGTAGCTTAGCTGTTTAGATAAGGGTTCTAAAATATTTATTAAGCGTATTATACCATACCCTCCTAGTTTTAATAACACTGCGGCAAGGATTATGGATCCTGCAATTGGTGCTTCGACGTGAGCTTTGGGTAGTCAAAGATGTACACCATAAAGAGGTATTTTTACAAGGAAAGCCATAAGGCAACCTATTCATCATAATTTATCTCCTAGTATGATTAGGTTTAAAGGGTTGGAGTGCTGTAGGGTTAATATAGATAAGGAGCCTGTTTTGTTTTGAAGTATTAGTAGCGCAACAAGTAAGGGGAGGGATCCAGCTAGGGTATAAAATAGGAAGTAAGTCCCTGCATTTAATCGCTCTGTTTGATTACCTCAACGGGTGATAATTAATAAAGTTGGAATTAATGTGGCTTCAAATATAATATAAAATATGATCAGTTCTGTAGCACTAAATGCTAAGATGAGAAATAATTGTAAAGATGTAAGAAGTGAGATATATATTCGTTGTCGGTTAATAGGGTCATTAGTTGTATGGTTTTGGCTGGCAAGGATTATTAATGGGAGAAGTCAACATGTAAGGATTAATAAGGGGGTTGATAGTGGATCGGTTGCTATTAACCCATTTAGATTTGATCAAGCGGTTTCAGATGGTCAAGTTAATCAGGTTAGAGTAAATAAAGCAATAACAAGACTATGTGTTAATGTAGAAGGTCATAATCATTTTTTAGGGGTAAATCAGATTGTGGGGATTAATATAACAGTTGGGATAAGGATTTTTAACATTGTAAGATATTTAAGGCTTGAAGGCGATCAGTCCCGTGTGTTCGAGAGGTTGCTACTAACAGGGCTAACCCAGCACTTGCTTCACATGCTGAAAAAGCAAGTATTAGTATAGGGGTGGGGGAGAAGCTAATCGAATTTAATTGAAGTGTTCATAAGGATAAAGCAACATATAATGATAATATCATTCCTTCTAAACATAAAAGGGCTGAGAGTAAATGATTTCGGTGAAAAGTTAATCCTATAAGTCCTAAAATAAATGTTGTTGAGAAAGCAAAGTGCACAGGTGTCATAAAACGATCGTGGATTTTAACCACGTGCTTTTGAGCCGAAATCAAATGTTTTAATTATACTAATCGTTTATTCAGCTCATTCTAATCCTCCTTGGATTCATTCATAAATGAGGCCTAATGTTAGCAAAACAACGACTGAAGACGCTCATATAAATGTGCTGGTGGGATATATTAATTGTATTCCTCACGGGAGTGGGAGAAGTAATGCAATTTCTAAGTCAAATAAAAGGAATAGAATTGCTACTAAAAAAAATCGTAGTGAAAATGGAAGGCGGGCTGATCCTAATGGGTCAAAACCGCATTCGTAAGGTGATAGTTTTTCCACATCCGGGTTTATTTGGGGTAATCAGAATGATACTAAAGCTAGTAAGATAGAAAGGGTGGTTGTAATTAGTAGAATTGTGATTAACAAGTTCATTATCTTTTCTTGGGTTTTAACCAAGACCAGGTGATTGGAAGTCACTTATACTTCTTAGTACTAAAAAGATAAGATCCTCATCAATAAATTGAGACATAAAGGAATAGTCATACAACATCGACAAAATGTCAGTATCATGCGGCGGCTTCAAATCCAAAGTGATGTTCTGATGTAAAATGGTATTGAATTTGTCGAATTAGGCAAACTGCTAGGAATGTTGATCCAATGATAACATGTAATCCATGGAATCCTGTTGCTACAAAAAAGGTTGATCCGTAAACACCATCAGCAATAGTGAAGGGGGCTTCATAATATTCCATTGCTTGAAGGAATGTGAAATAAAACCCTAGAAGAATAGTTAAGGTAAGTGAGTGGATAGCTTGTTTTCGCTCCCCTTCTATAATACTATGATGAGCTCAGGTTACTGTAACACCAGAGGCGAGTAGGACTGCTGTGTTAAGAAGGGGTACTTCGAAAGGATCAAGTGTAATTACTCCAGAGGGGGGTCAGCAACCTCCTAATTCTGGGGTTGGAGCTAGGCTAGAGTGGTAAAAAGCTCAGAAGAATCCTAGGAAGAAGAAAACTTCTGAGGTGATGAACAGGATTATACCATAACGTAACCCCTTTTGAACTGGTGGGGTGTGATGTCCTTGGAATGTTCCTTCTCGGATAATATCCCGTCATCATTGAATTATTGTTAAAAGCAGTAAAATTAATCCAATTGTTATCAAAACAGTCGAATTAGAGTGGAATCAAATAGCTAACCCTGAAGTTATTAAAAGGGCTGCGATTGCACCTGTTAGGGGTCAGGGGCTCGGATCTACTATGTGGTACGCATGTGCTTGATGGGCCATTAAACATTTTCTTGTAGATAAAGGCTTAATAATAGTACGAAAACATAGGCTTGGATTATAGCAACGGCTACTTCCAATAATGTTAGTAAGAATAATAAAACTGTTGTTAATAATGCAATTGTGGGTATTAACGGCATTAGCACGAATGCTGCTGTTGCAATAAGTTGGATAAGTAAGTGTCCTGCAGTTAAATTTGCTGTCAGTCGGACACCTAGGGCAATAGGTCGAATAAATAAGCTAATTGTTTCAATAATAATAAGTACAGGGATTAGTGGCACAGGTGTGCCTTCTGGTAGTAGATGGCCTAGAGAGTGTGTTGGTTGATTTCGTATCCCAATAATAACAGTTGCTAGTCATAAAGGTACAGCTAGTCCTATGTTTAGTGATAGCTGGGTTGTAGGGGTGAAGGTGTAGGGAAGTAATCCTAATATGTTTAGGGAGATTAGGAAAATTATTAAAGATGCAAAAATTAATGCTCATTTATGACCTGCTGTATTTAGAGGGAGGAGAAGTTGTTTTGTAAATAAGTTGATAAATCAGTTTTGTAGTGTGAGTATGCGATTATTGATTCAACGAGAGGAGGGGGTAGGAAATATGATTCAAGGAAGTATAATAGCTAAAGCTATTAATGGGATTCCTAAAAATATGGGACTAGAGAATTGGTCGAAGAAGCTTAGTGTCATTGTCAGTTTCAAGGGGTTGTTTCTAATGTTTTAGTGCTTAGAACATTTGGTTCATTGGGGTATTTATGTGCTATTACTTTAGGCGGGATAATAGTAATAAAGATTAATCATGTAAATAGTAGAATTATTAATCAAGGTGAGGGATTTAATTGAGGCATGTCGCTAAGGGTGGTTGGGAGTCACCAATTTTTAGCTTAAAAGGCTAACGCTGAGGTCCTATTTAGCTTCTTAACGAGGCGTCTTCAAGTATAAGTGATGATCAGTTTTCAAATTGTTCTAAGGGTACTGCTTCTACTACAATAGGTATAAAGCTGTGGTTAGCACCACAGATTTCTGAACATTGTCCATAAAACACTCCTGGTCGTGATGTGATAAAAGCTGTTTGGTTTAATCGTCCTGGCACCGCATCTATTTTAACTCCTAGGGAAGGTACTGCTCATGAGTGAAGTACGTCTTCTGCAGATACTAATACTCGAATTGGTGATTCAACTGGGATTACTATACGATGATCTGCTTCTAATAATCGGAATTGGCCTGGTACTAGGTCTTGGGTTGGGATTATGTATGAGTCAAAGGCTAGGTCTTCATAATCAGTGTACTCATAACTTCAGTATCATTGATGTCCAACTGCTTTGATTGTGAGGTGAGGGTCGTTTACTTCATCTATCAGGTATAAAATTCGTAAAGATGGGAGTGCGATTAGGATCAGAATAATTGCGGGAAGAATAGTCCAGATGATTTCAATTTCTTGTGAGTCTAATAAGAATTTGTTTGTTAGTTTTGTAGTGACTATAGCTACAATAATATAAAGCACTAAAGTGCTAATCAGGAATACAATTATTAATGCATGATCGTGGAAGTGAAGTAGTTCTTCTATTACAGGTGATGCTGCGTCTTGAAAACCTAGTTGTGAGGGATAAGCCATTATTAAAGATATGTAGGGGTTTAACCAACAACTCTGCCTTGACAAAGCAGTATAATATTTTACTAATATCTTAATTAGTTGTATAAAGAAAGTGACAGAACGGTTTTGTGGGTGGCTTGAAACCATTTAATGGGGGTTCAATTCCCTCCTTTCTCGTTTAGTTATTTGTTTGTACTTGAACAAAAGCAGGTTCTTCAAATGTGTGGTAGGGTGGGGGACATCCATGTAACCATTCAATGTTTGTTGAAGCTAATTCGACTATAAGGACTTCTCGTTTAGCAGCAAATGCTTCTCAAATAATAAATAAAAATATAATTACGGCGATTAGGGATACAAGAGACCCAATAGAGGAAATAGTATTTCATAGTGAATATGCATCTGGATAATCAGAGTATCGTCGGGGTATACCGGCTAACCCTAAAAAATGTTGAGGAAAAAATGTTAGGTTAACACCTGCAAACATTACGCCAAAGTGAATTTTGGTTCAAGAGCTGTGTAGTGTGTAGCCTGTAAATAGGGGGAACCAGTGCACAAATCCTGCTATAATTGCAAATACAGCACCTATTGATAATACATAATGGAAATGGGCAACTACGTAATAAGTATCATGTAAAACAATATCTAATGAGGAGTTTGCTAACACAATACCTGTTAACCCTCCAACAGTGAATAAAAAAATAAAGCCTAAAGCTCATAATAGAGGAGTTTCTCATTTAATAGAGCCTCCGTGTAATGTGGCAAGTCAGCTAAATACTTTTACACCTGTGGGGATGGCAATAATTATTGTTGCTGAGGTAAAATATGCTCGGGTGTCTACATCCATTCCTACAGTAAATATATGGTGAGCTCAGACGATAAATCCTAGAAGTCCGATTGCTATTATTGCTCAAACCATACCTATATAACCAAAAGGTTCTTTTTTACCAGAATAATAAGCTACAATATGCGAGATTATACCAAAACCTGGGAGGATGAGAATATATACTTCAGGATGTCCAAAGAATCAGAATAAGTGTTGATAGAGAATAGGATCTCCTCCTCCAGAAGGGTCAAAGAATGTTGTGTTTAAATTCCGATCTGTTAAAAGTATAGTAATACCAGCTGCTAATACAGGCAGGGATAGTAAGAGTAGAACTGCAGTTACTAAGACTGCTCATACAAACAGTGGTGTTTGATATTGTGAAATTGATGGGGGTTTTATATTAATAATAGTGGTAATAAAGTTAATAGCTCCGAGGATTGACGAAACACCTGCTAGATGGAGGGAGAAAATTGTTAAGTCTACTGAAGCTCCAGCATGTGCTAGGTTGCCTGCTAATGGGGGGTAAACAGTTCAACCTGTTCCTGCACCGGCTTCTACTCCTGATGAGGCAAGGAGAAGGAGGAAAGAAGGTGGTAATAATCAAAAACTCATATTGTTTATCCGAGGGAAGGCTATATCAGGCGCTCCAATTATTAAAGGAACTAATCAATTACCAAAACCTCCGATCATAATTGGTATTACTATAAAAAAAATTATTACGAAAGCATGGGCAGTTACGATAACATTATAGATTTGATCATCCCCTAGTAAAGCTCCTGGCTGACTTAGTTCTGCTCGAATTAATAGGCTGAGTGCAGTGCCGACTATTCCGGCTCAAGCACCAAATACTAAGTATAGGGTGCCGATGTCTTTGTGATTAGTTGAGAAAAATCATCGTGTGATTGTCACAGGTAGGATGGCTGAGTAAGCGGTGGATTGTAATCCCACATACAGAGGTTTGAGCCCTCTTCATACCAAGCCCCGAGGTGTATTACATATAAGATTGCAAATCTTAAGTGGCCAATTAATTTTTGCCGGGGCTTTCCCCCGCCTTTTCGCCTATTCAAGGCGGGGGAAAGTAGATGGATGCTCGCTGGTTAGAGTGTCTAGCTGTTAACTAGGAAATTGTAGGATCGAGGCCTTCCCATCTAGTAAGGCTTTAGCTTAATTAAAGTGTCTGTTTTGCATGCAGTAGATGTGGGTTAGTCACCTGCAAGTCTTATCAAGGGTTAGGGGATTTTCACTCCTACTTAAGGCTTTGAAGGCCTTTGGTCTGTATTAACCTAAACTCTTAGTTAATAATAGTCATAATACCAGGTAGAAGGGGAAGTAATATTAGTGATAGTATTGTTGAGATAGATAAGTGAATGGTGGGTTGTTTGGTATTAAATCGTCATTGATTAGTAATGGGGGTGGTGTTGGGTGATAGGGTTAGTGTTATAGCATAAGAGAGTCGTAGGTAGAAGTAAAGGCTAAGTAGAGCAGATAAAGCTGTGATTGTTGCAATTATATTTAGGTCTTGTTTTGTCAGTTCTGATAAGATTATTCATTTTGGGCCAAAGCCTGTAAGTGGTGGTAAACCCCCTAGTGATAAGAGGATTAATGGGCTTAGTGCGGTAATAGTAGGTGATTTTGATCAGGATATCGCGAGTGAATTGATGGAGGTTGTTTTGTTTATTTTAAATAAGCAGAAGATAGATAATGTTATAAAGATATAAATTATAAGGGTGATAAGTGTTAGAGATGGTGAGAATTGTAAGACAAGAATTATCCAACCAATGTGGGCAATTGATGAGTAGGCTAGGATTTTTCGTAACTGTGTCTGATTTAAACCTCCTCAACCTCCAATCATGGTTGATATGATTGCTATCGTGATTATTACTGAGTTATTTAGGTTTATTTGTATTAATAGGGAGAATGGAGCTAGTTTTTGTCAGGTGGATATAATTAATCCGGTTGTAAGATCTAGGCCTTGAAGGACTTCTGGTAATCATGTATGGAGAGGTGCTAAGCCAATTTTTAAGGCTAGGCCTAGTATTATAATGGTTGAGGATATTGGGTGAGATAATTCATTAATGTCTCATTGTCCGGTAATTCATGCGTTAGTAGAACTGGCAAATAGGATTATTGCTGCAGCTGTGGCTTGAGTAAGGAAGTATTTTGTGGAAGCTTCTACAGACCGTGGGTGATGATGTTGTGCTATTAAAGGAATGATTGCGAGTGTATTAATTTCTAGGCCTATTCATGCTAGTAATCAATGTGAGCTTATAAATGTGATTGTAGTACCTAATCCTAAGCCTAGTAAAAAAATTGATATAATATAAGGGTTCATTAGTAAAGGGAGGGTTCTAACCTACATTTTTGGGGTATGGGCCCAAGAGCTTTATTTAGCTGACTTTACTTTAGGAAGTGGTGTAGTAGGAAGCACCAAGAGTTTTGATCTCTTAAGTGGGGTTCGAGTCCTCTCTTTCTAAGGAATTAGGGGGATTTTAACCCCCGTAATACACTCTATCAAAGTGGTCCTTTAGTATTCAGGCATAATTCCTTTATATATGTGGTGGGAGTCCGGCTAATGCTAGAGGTGTTGATAAATGTCAAATAATTAAAGCTAGGGTTAAAGGTAGGAAATTTTTTCAAATAAGGTGTATTAGTTGATCATATCGAAATCGTGGGTAGGAGGCTCGAACTCATAAAAATAATACTGATAACATGGTTGCTTTTAGTATGAGGTTTGCTGTTATTAGTTCTGGTATTGAGGGGATATGATATGTCCCTAGAAAAAGGATAGTTGATAGGGTATTTATAAGTAAGATATTGGCGTATTCTGCAAGGAAGAATAGTGCGAAAGGTCCTCCTGCATATTCAACATTAAAACCCGAAACAAGTTCTGATTCTCCTTCTGTTAGATCAAATGGTGCTCGGTTTGTTTCAGCTAGTGTGGAGATATATCATATTGCTGCTAAAGGTCATGCTGGGATGATTAATCATAGGCTTTCTTGTGTGACACCAAATGATTGTAGTGTAAAATTACCAGTGAAGATAATTAGTGCTAGTAGGATTAATCCTAAGCTTACCTCATATGAAATGGTTTGTGCTACGGCTCGTAATGCTCCGATTAATGCATATTTTGAATTGGATGCTCATCCTGATCCTAGGATTGAGTAAACTGCTAGACTTGATAATGCTAAGATAAAGAGTATTCCCAAATTAACATTAATTACAGGATAGGGTATTGGTAGTGGGGCTCATAATATAAGGGCAAGTGTGAGTGCTAATATAGGGGTAGCTAAAAATAAGATTGGTGAAGATGTAGATGGTTTTACTGGTTCTTTAATAAATAGTTTTACTCCATCTGCGATTGGTTGTAGTAAGCCAAAAGGTCCTACGATATTGGGTCCTTTTCGGTGTTGTATATAGCCTAGTACTTTTCGTTCTAGAAGGGTTAAGAAAGCAACTGCTAGTAAGACGGGGATGATGTATAATAATGGGTTAATAATTTGTGTTATAATTGTGGTAATCATAGTTAAGAAGAGGATTTGAACCTCTATTCAAAGGGCTTAGGTCTTTTGCAATAACCGGACTCTGCCATCTTAACATGTAGTTATATTCTAGGTTGTTTTGTGTTGTTTAACCTTTAATATTTTTTCAAGGGTTAAAAAAGGGGCTTGTTTTAAAACATGGGCCCATCCTTCTTGGTCCTTTCGTACTGAAGAAGGGCACATTATAGATAGAAACTGACCTGGATTGCTCCGGTCTGAACTCAGATCACGTAGGACTTTAATCGTTGAACAAACGAACCCTTAATAGCGGCTACACCATTAGGATGTCCTGATCCAACATCGAGGTCGTAAACCCTCTTGTCGATAGGGACTCTTAAAGAGGATTGCGCTGTTATCCCTGGGGTAACTAGGTTCGTTGATCGGTCAGTGCCGGATCTGTTGGTCAAATATTTTGGTACTTAGAAATGACTTTCTTGGGTGTAAGGTTTTCATCTCAATCCTCACGGAGGTTTTGTTTTACTCCGCGGTCGCCCCAACTAAAGATATTAAGATGAGGTTATAGATTTATCATCTTTTACAAGGTTTAATTATTAATAAACTCGTCTATTCATCTAAAGCTCCACAGGGTCTTCTCGTCTTATGAGTTAATTCCCGCTTCTGCACGGGAAGATCAATTTCATTAACTGGAGTAAGGAGACAGTTTAGCCCTCGTTATGCCATTCATACAGGTCTTTATTTAAAAGACAAGTGATTGCGCTACCTTTGCACGGTCAAAATACCGCGGCCGTTAAACTTGCGGTCACAGGGCAGGCGGGACCTCTTATTCTCATATTATGCAAGAGGCGGTGTTTTTGGTAAACAGGCGAGGCTAATATTTTATGTTTGCCGAGTTCCTTCTTACTCTTTTAGTTTATCCTGGTTAGCAATCCAGTGTGGGGTGGATGATTTTTATTGTTGTTTTTTCTAGTTATTTGTTTTTACAACACTTCCCTCATTATAGGGATCATTAATTTTCGGTGTTAGTTCGATCCGAAGCACACTTTTGCTAAGGGAGAGAATCTTTTACTTCTCTTATTACTCATATTAACATTATCGCTTTCATGTATTATGAAAAGGCCTGATTTATTTATGGGTTTAAAAATATTTATCTGAATTAAAAGTATTATTAGTGCTTGAGCTTTAACGCTTTCTGTTTTGATGGCTGCTTTCAGGCCCACTAAGGCATGTAAGTACTTTGTTGTTTATGATTTTTAACCTCATAATCAAGGTTGTGTCCTATGTCAAAAGAGCTGTACCCCTTTTGACTAACTCTATATTATCATTAACTAAATCTATGCTGTTTATACTTTAATTGATTTTGGGGGTAAAATAGGCTGAACTTTTATTCATTTCTCAGGCAACCAGCTATAACTAAGCTCGTTTGGTTTATCACCTCTACTCAGAGCTCACCCCAACCTTTTGCCACAGGTACGGGTTTGTCCATTTGTTCTGACTGTCTCGGAGTAGCTCGCTTAGTTTCGGGGTAACAAACTGAAGATCTCTTTGCTTGAATTATCTTGTTAAACCATGATGCAAAAGGTACAAGATTTAATCTTTGCTATTATTAACTTAAATATTTGTTTAATTTCTTTTTCAGCTTTCCCTTGCGGTACTGATTTTATAGCTTCATTATTCCTTTTCAGTCTCCCTTACTTGGGTTATAAAATGTTTTAATGTAGTTTTTTGGGGTATTAGGGGTTATTTTTAATTTTTATTTGAATTTAGTGTTTGAGCTAGCATTTGAGTATCAGGGCAGTTCTATTTGCAAGAACAACTTCTCGGTGTAAGTGAGATGCTTTAACTACTTTAGCTATGCTCTGGTATTCCAAGCACACCTTCCGGTACACTTACCATGTTACGACTTGCCTCCCCTTGTATTTTATTTTGGTTTTAATTAATTGTAAATTTGTTGTTGGGGAGAGTGACGGGCGGTGTGTGCGCGCTTTAGAGCCGATTTCAGATGAACACTCTATTTTCTTCTTACTGCTAAATCCTCCTTTAGGTTTATGTTTCAATATACCATCCGTATTCATTAGTAAATGAGTGTAGCCCATTTCTTTCCCTATTATAAACTACACCTCGACCTGACGTTTTGGGTTATAACTAGTTTTGCTCACTATTGTTCTTTCACAAGGTAAGCTGACGACGGCGGTATATAAATTGATTAAGCAAAATAGGGTGAGGTTTAACGGGGGTTATCAGTTATAGAACAGGCTCCTCTAGGTGGGTGTAAAGCACCGCCAAGTCCTTTGGGTTTTAAGCTAGTGCTCGTAGTACCCGGGCGAGTATGTTGTAATTACTATACTTTAGTTTAAGGCTATGCATAGTGGGGTATCTAATCCCAGTTTGTTTCATAGCTTTCGTGGGTTCAGTTTTGTAAAGTCACTTTCGTAAATGAATTTCATGTCTTCGGATGCGTATAACAGCTTGGAAGATATTTAACTTTAGTTTTTTAATACTTAACCACTCTTTACGCCGACTTCTATTATCTTGAGCCTCTCGTATAACCGCGGTGGCTGGCACGAGTTTTACCGGCTCTAAAAACCTTAACTAAGTCAAGTTTACACTTATGGCTTAATATTTATCACTGCTGAAGTTCCCTTGGGGGTGTGGCTAAGCAAGGTGTTATGGGCAATTTTATGTGCCTGATACCAGCTCCTTGATCTCATAAGAGGGTTAAGGGCATTCTCACGGGGGTGCGGATGCTTGCATGTGTAAGTTTGGTTGTAAATAATAGTAAAGCTAGGACCAAGCCTTTGTGCTTTCGGAACTTTCTAGGGTTCATAATAACATCTTCAGTGTTATGCTTTAAGATTTAAGCTACGATGGC